AAAAGGCTTTTCACAGCCTTGAGCCAAGTCAAACTGACCTGAGCCAAGCAGAGTGACAGCATGAATCTCAAAAACTGTTTATCAAGTGTTAGGTCTCTAAGACTTCAAGGAAAGCTACAAGACAAAAATCCAAGAGAATTCAGAATGACTCCACTGGGAGAGCAAGAATGAGGAACCAGAAAGCACATATCCTGCCTCCCTACTCTACAATCCAAGAATTAGGGACAAGCCTGTCATATACTCTGTATCACAGCAAGCAAAGAGAGGTAATTATTATATATATCACAAGGATAAACTATCAACATAAGATTATATGAGAAAACACGCACCAAGAAGTGTAAAGACAAAAACAAAGGAACATTATTAGTGCTAATGGGGGTCCTATAATTTTAACTAATACATCTACTGGGTGGGCTGGAGCGATAGCACAGCGGTAGGGCGTTTGCCTTGCATGCAGCCAATATGGCCGACACGAGTTCGATTCCTCCGCCCCTCTCGGAGAGCCCGGCAAGCTACTGAGAGTATCTTGCCCGCATGGCAAAGCCTGGCAAGCTCCCCATGATGTATTCGATATGCCAAACACAGTAACAACAAAGTCTCCAATGGAGACGTTACTGGGCCCGCTTGAGCAAATTGATAAACAACAGGAGGACCGTGACCCTGACCATCTACTGGGTCTGCTGGTAGCCAGACCAGACATCTAAAAGGAGACTGGCCCCCTTCACATATATCCTCAAGCAAAAGGAATATCGAAATCCCTAAAATCCTGATGCTTTAAGATCATTTTTTAAGAATAATAATTTTAAAAAGGTCCACCTTTAATGATGTTTTGCTACAGACACTTAACTATAAAAACTTCCTAAAACTTTTGCGTTTCATACTTCAATACTCACATCCAAACTGCGAGGAGCAAATCAGTATATTTAGTGCTAGGAACACTGCTTGTTGTTAATATCTTATTATTGAGGTAATGTTCATTCACAAGATCGTACATTTCCAAGTCCATCACCAAGTACCAATACCCACCATTCAATCCACTCCTCCCTGTCCCCCACTTCAGTAAATCTGACGTTTGTTTTGAATGCTCCTAACAAGTTTTTAAGATTTTTTTATTTTGTTTTTGGGGTGCCCTCCCAATGGTGCTCAGCACTCAAGGCTCACTCGATGGGGTCTTGTAATTTTAACTAATACATCTACTTGTAATTTTAACTAATACAATACATCATATGGGTTGGTCACATGCAGGGCCAGCACCTTACTCGCTGTACTATCTTTCCAGCCCAGACTGTAATTTTTAAAGACCTTTGGCTCAAAACCTAAATATAAAAGCATTTTATGGCTATTTAGAAATTTTATTAAACCTTATACAAAATAAAGAGCAATAAATTAGATTATTCAAGATTAAGGATACAGTGAGACACACCCTTAATGACTAAAAGCACTTTCGAACCAGAAGCAACACAAGCAACAAAAGTTAGTGCTGGAGCGATAGCACAGCGGGTAGGGTGTTCACCTTACAAGCGGCCAACATGGCCGACCCGAGTTCAATTCCTCCGCCCCTCTAGGAGAGCCCGGCAAGCTACCGAGAGTATTCAGTATACCAGACACAGTAACAACAAAGTCTCCAATGGAGACGTTATTGGGCCCGCTCGAGCAAATCGACGATCAACGGGAGGGCCTTTACCTTTACCAGCAAAGTTTGTATGAGCAAAATAGGAACATGCATGTATGGAGGACTTTCAAATTCAAGATTAATACATCAAAATTAAACATTTTTCATTTCAGTGGAATATGATAAATACAATAGGATTAGTCCCTTATTTTTGTCACTTGAAAAATGTATTTCAGGAGAAATTATCATCTCAACCCTGCCAACTGCCACCCACTATTCTTTTTATTTATTTTTTTTATTAGTGAAACACCATGAAGTACAGTTGTAGACTTACAAGTTTTTGTGCTTGGGTTTCAGTTATACAATGATCAAGCACCCATCCCTCCACCAGTGCCGATTCTCTACCCCCACCAATCCCACCCCCGCACCCCCCATCCCACCCTGCCTCTGTGTCAGGGAACTCCCTTTTGTTCTCTCTCTCCTTTTGGGTGCTGTGCCACCCACTATTCTTAATGTTAATATTATTTAAAAGATTTTTACTCTAAGTAGAGCTTCAAGATCTTTTTACAAGTAAAAAGGATTCTTTCTACTTTCTACAAGACTCTACAAGTAAAATAAATCTTCTTACTCATAAAACTAAAAAGAAAAGGCAACACAACTCATTTTCCTTGATACATTTTAATAAAATATTTATAAAAGAAAAAAAAACCTTGGGGGTATGGTGACGCCAGCAGGTCAATCTGTACCTGTGAGGCGAGTGCATCAGCAGCCTGATAGTGCCTTCAGACTTCAAGATACCCAAAAATTGCTGCTGTGCCTCTGGCCAGACCCCAACAACTTCGGGCCAAGTTTACCAAGAAAGTAAACGGCCAAAAGTTAGGTATGTGGGAGACACACCCACAAACCACCTCTGGCTCAGCTATATAATTGGAGGCAAGGCCTCTCTGGTTCCTAATCAAACTGCTTGAAGGCCATGGTCCCAGAGACACAGAAACAAATCTTAGAACCCAGCAGCTTCTGGCAGAGATGCATCTGGTACCCATAGTGATTATTGGCACAGGGCCATCCCAGGTGGGAATAAGTTTCATCCCTTGGCCTGTTCCCCCTGGCGGCTTGGTGGCCACCATCCTCCAGAGGCCACTGGGCAGTCAGGTTTGGGCCTGCAGTGACAAGAGACACGGGACCTCATGGGATGGGGGGTGAGGCTGGCCCTTTCCTCCCCGCCCCAACAAGACCCCAAGTCGCCACCCACGAACGGCCCCTCTGGCTCCTGATCAAGTTGCTTAATGGCCATGATCCCAGAGACTCAGGAACAAATCTCAGAACCCAGCAGGTTTGGGCAGAAATCCCTCCGTTTTAATTGTTAAAATTTTGGAATTCCAAAATTGCACAGCCACTACTGTGGCCATGTGATATCATATGTTATTCATAACCAGCACTTAGAAAACAAATTGTCTATGGTTGCCTTTTCGGGTACCCAACAGGTAGGAGAAGAGTGTGGGATGGGGGGTATACTGGGGTTTTTGGTAGTGGAAAATGGGCACTGGAGAAGGGATGGGTGTTTTATCATTGTATGACTGAGACTTAACCCAAAAGCTTTGTAACTGCTCTCACGGTGATTCAATAAATAAATTTATTAAAAAGAAAAAAAAAAGCAGTAAGGTGGAGTTCATGCCTAATTCTATCAGCCTAATATGGCTAAATAAATAGGTGGTCTGGTTCTAGTGGCTAGCAATACTCCTACATTAAATAAATAAATAAATAAATTGAAAGTAAAAAAGAAAGAAAAAAAAACCCTTACAGATTTTTGTTTTTAAAAAAATAAGCAAGAGAATGTTATGAATTGGTTAAATGCATGATAAAACAATTTTTTAAATTTAATTATTTCATGTTTTTGTCTTTGGGGGTCACATCCAGCAATGCTCAGGGGTTACTCCTGGCTCTAAACTAAGGAATCACTCCTGGTGGTGCTTGTGGGACCACATGGGATGCGGGGAATCGAACCTGGAGTCATGTACAAGGCAAATACCTTACTCATGATACTATTGCTCTTGTCCTGATACAACAAAATTTTATATTAATTATTATACTGATTCTTACTGTTTCAGGATTCCTGGTATAAATTTAGATTGGTTTAAAAAGACTTAGAACTTAACAAAACTACTTAGGTAACCAGGATAGCTTATAGTGAAGATGCTTCTAGGACTATGCTCAGTGGGGTTGAGGGCCTTCTCCTGACTCTGTGCTCAGAGATTAGTCTTGCTGGGACTCGGAGGAACACATGTAGTGCCAGGAAGCAAACCTGGGTTCACCTTGTGCAAGGCAAGAACCCTGACTATTGTACTATCACTCTGTCCCCAGTTAAAATGCTTTTAAATATTGCTAATTATAAACTGGTTTTCATTCATGCCAATGCCTTGGACAATATCACAATCACAAGTCTTATTGCTCTTTATTTAGAAAATGTGTGCCTTTAAAATATAATTTAGAAATATCACATTATCACATGAATTATCTAAATAAATCTCCCCCTAGCACCAATCCTGTGAAAATGACAGCTGGCTTAGAAATAATAATATCACACCCTTGGTGAAATCAACAGTCTTTCCATGGGAAAAAATTTTTAAGGTGCTAAAATTAGAAAATCAAAAGACTATCTAATCTTCAATTTCAGAAAGTGCTATTTGGAACAGGGAGAAAAGAGAAATTATGTCTATTTATATTCAATAGAATGTGCCCCTTTTTAAAACTGTTATAACCATTATTTAGTAAAATTCTGTAAGGATGCCAAAAACTTAATCAAAACCTCTATCTGCATGCCCATATTTCCTTAACAAGAAACCATAGCTTTTTTAAGTTACCTTTTTCCTTTCTTTTAATGTAAACTCAGGAGAGTTCATTTCTTTATTCTAGAATGCCAATTCATATGTCTGAAATAAATGCAAAAAGAAGAAACAGTCTTCGATAAGGCATTCTTTTTGGGCATTCTGTCATCTGGAAATCCCCTCTACTGTTCTTCATCCAATTCAGAGTTTATGCATAAACATAATAGGATATTGTTTTGCAAAATGGATTTTTATTCATATAATCTCATCAAGAACACAGGTAATGTTTCTGCTTCCAATTTAAAATACTTTTCTATCCACTATTTAGAAGGGCTGTGACTACTCATGTTTCAACAGGAAACCATCCTTTCTAATTAATCTCCATGACTGAAGTTGATTTAATCAATTCCCCTTGGTGACTGGAATGATTAACTAGCTGATTTCACTTCAACAACAGATGGGCCATTATCCCTCTCCTGAGTGTGTTATAACTGTTTTGTACTTTTTCAGAGAGGTGGTTTGGATTTTGAAAGACAAATAAAAACAGGTAACCCAAAACATACTTCGATCAGCATGAAATTTCTTGCACGTTTTAACGGCAACAAAAATATCCTCCTTCTTCACTGGAGTTCCCTAAAAGACAGAAGGAAAAAAATGTGTAGATGAGTCAACTCTATCTTATCTTGACATCCACACTAGTGCTCACATGTTCTAAAGTTCAAATCCACAAATGTCAAGGCTATCGCACCTACTTCCAGTATTAAACTTTGGGGGAAAAGGAAACTGTAGTACAGCAAATACGGTCTTTGACATGGGCTAGCCATAGGCCTGGATCCTAGCTCTGCCATTTGCTCACTCACTCAGGGTCATCTGAACAAGTCTGTCAGCTCTCTGAACTTCAGTAAGCTCTTTTACAAAATGGAAAGCGTAGTCTCCAGTAAAGCTGACTTTACTGTCACTATTTATTCAACACATCATAGTGGTCCAATAACGCGATTTACCATCCCTTAGCTTTTTTTCAGCCAGTGAAGAATTTGAGAAAAGGAGAGAGGAAGGAGATGGTTCAGTGCAAAATAAATGGCTCATTAATGAACCTGGACTAACTTTGATGTTTTAAAGATTTCAATGGCCCCTTTACTGTCCAAACAAGACTAGGTTACCTCATTGTGCCCTGATCTCCTTGAAGGTAGTATTACTTTAAATACCTGGGGATATCCTGGAGCCGTAAACTCAAGAGAAAAGGGAAAAACAGATCTATGGACAACCTACACTCAAATCTATGAACTTCTTGGAGAGAAAGGATTCTGACCCTATACCACCTGTCTTAGGCCTGCACTAATATTCCATCAGGATTCCCACATCATCTGGGGCTGGTTTCTAGCAACACCTAACCCCAGCTTTGCCAGGGCACTTCAGGTTCTCCTAAGTTAATTCCTCCAGATTCCTTCAGAGAGTAGGAAAGAAGAAGCAAGTAGAATGTCTAGAAAGATAGCTTTCCCCTTCAGAAACTGCAAACACTACAGCTTCTTTCTCATTGCAACCGTGCAAGTGTATGTGAGCACATACATGCATCTGGGGAACATAAAGTAACAAAATCAGAGACTAACACCCAGGAGTGGCCGAGATTAGTACCAGGAATTTTGCTCCATGACTTGGAGGCCAGCCACATGTGCCAGGGGAAAAGGAAGCTCAGATAGAGAAGGGAGCACCAAATAAAGGTGTTGGGAGGATCCTCCCAGGATGGGAGAAGCATGCTGAAAGTAGACTATAGACCAAACATGACTGCCACTCAATGCCTCTCTTGCAAGCCACAGGACCCAAAAGGAGAGAGAGAGAACAAAAGGGAGTGCCCTGCCACAGAAGCAGGGTAGGATGGGGGGACGGGGGATGGGAGGGATGCTGGGACCCGTGGTGGTGGAGGATGGGCACTGGTGGAGGGATGGGTACTTGATCATTGTATAACTGAAACCCAAGCACGTAAGTTTGTAAGTCTATAACTGTACCTCATGGTGTTTCACTAATAAAAAAAATGCAATATGAAGTCTTCTGTGCGAATAGCATGAGAAAAACGGATATCTGAGGGTTGTGACTATACTTTCCCCTTATGAGGAGCACTGATACCCTCTTGGTGAGTTTCAGGACTCTTCAGGCTCATCCTGGGGATGGAATCAGGGTCTGACATATCAAGAGCATGCATTCCCCCAAATTCTGGACAGTCTCACATGAGATCAAAGCAAGGTCAGGAAATGAAAGGTAACAGGCATGCATTTGGATAAAGGCTCAAGTGTAATGTAAAGTGCCTAAAATTTCCATGTTTTAGAAATGAAACAGAAGTTGCAGTAGACACAAGCTAAATGATCATGAAAAGCAATAGCTCCCGGCATGCAGTCTCTAAAGAGCTGTGGTAGACACTTTGGGCACACTATGGACTTGGTTCCTGTCCAGCCACAAGAAAGTACCACATACATTTTGGTTTCCTGGTGCATTTAAATTATGTCTATGCACTACAATAGTCCACCATGCAACAGCATTGTGTCTTAAAAATAATGCACAGACCTTAATTAAACATATGCAAAGTCAGCACATGCACTGAAAATATAGTACCCCACAAACTGTTCAATCCAAGCTGCCCCAAACTTTCAAGATGTAAAAAGAGATCTCCTTGCAAAGTAGGAGAAAGTAAAGCACAATAAAAACAAGGTGTGTCTCATATGAACCTCAAGTCCCACTAGGAGTGATCCCTGAGCACAGTGGGTGTGGCCTCCCCCTCCCCAAAATGAGGTGTGCCTGTACCCCAAGAAAGCTCTGAAGTGACAGGTGCCAGTGATCATCCCTGTTTTCCTCCTACCGTGCTACTTACCTTACCAAGGGTTGTTATTCGTTGAAACAGTACAAAAACATTTGTTAGTGCATAAGTGCCAATTCAATGTTATATATACGTGAATATTTTCCTGGGACTTACAAGTTTCCCTTCTAGTACTTACACAACGCGGTAGAAAAGACTGAAAAGTGGTAGCACAGAGAGTGTCCACAGCATCTGTACAAAATTCAGGCACTGGCGTCAGGGGCTGCCCATCACCCTTGTCCCAGATGTAGAGGGCAATCTGTCAGAGGTAAGAAGACTGTCAATGAAGGAAGGCATGAAACCAGCATAAGTAGCCAAGGAGAAATAATCTCATAGGCAAGCAGACTCCACCTTCTACAGAGAGCTAAACCCTATCAGTGACAATAAAACGTATCAATTTTAAGGGGTTTTTTTTCATTCAATGAAAGAGCGATCTTTATATAAAGCAACATAATCTTTTAGTAATAAAAAACTGTTAACTGAAAAAAATCAATATTCTAACTTCTGAAAAATGCCACATTTGTCATAAGCTATTCAGGGATTTGAAACATCATGGAGAAAAGGGAAAGGAAATATTATCATGATTCTGATTCCCTGCAGTATGGCAATTACATACTCTGAATAATTGACTGGATGAAAACACCTACAGATATGAAACTAAAATATCCTTAAAATCATTTTCAGGGGCCAGATACATCATACAGCAAGTAGGGCATTTGCCTTGCATGCAGCTGATCTGAGTTCAATCCCAGCATCTCATATGGTGCCCCAAGGACCTCCAAGAGTGATTCCTGAGCATCACCGGGTATGATCCAAAATTCAAAAAATCATTTTCAGTGCACTGCTAAACTGGAACAACATGTAATAAGAAAAAAACAAAATGAGACCAAGGGGAAAAAGGGAATCCCAGGGGCATCTCTGACAGTTCCTACCAGTAAACTCTGGTGACACCATTTCTGACTGGAGGTAATAGTAAATAAAAAATCAAAAGTGACTCTGAAGACTTGAAGAGATATGGAAGGGAGAAGTTAGCTAGAAATGTCCTCTGAGAGTTTGGAACCAAAAGCAAGGTACCCATAGATTTTACTAATGAAAGGTTACCCCAAACCTTTAATACATCAAAAACAAAAACAACTAAAAACACAAAACCTTGCTTTTTCGAACCCCCCTCCTCTGTCTGTTCCCCATCAGGGACCTGAGTGATCCCTGCAGCCAGTCCAACCCTGACTCTTAGCTAGGCCAGCCAGCACAGCCAGTTTAAACTCCTACAATCTAGGTGTGCTGACTTGACCGACCTCCCCTACCTGGGCCAACACTGCTTCTTCCTGTCCAGGGACCAGGTGAACCATCAGGAGTTATCCTGTGCTGGCTCCATCCTGAAAGGTAGAACTAACACCTGCTACCATGTAGATGCAACTATTGTACTTCAATAAAATAGTTACTACTATACTTCAATACAACTACTTTACTTCAATATAACCTGTTACCATGTAGACACAACTATTTGCAGTCTTAGGGAAAATAGGAAACCCCAGCATCTTAGCAGTGCCAGGATACTCCCACAAAAAAAAATTGTCAGTTAAAAGGGAGGAGCTAGACCTACACCTGTCAGTGCCACTGTATGTGTGTGCATAAACAGTAGCTTGTTAGTATAAAAGGGCATATTAGGTCAATACTTAGATCATCAAGGCTATACAAGTTCCACTGTCAGCACCCCAAAAACCTTGAGAACAATAGGAAAACCAAGGAAACCAGCTATGTTAGCAAATAGGGTCAGAAGCCCAAGTAAGTCCTCTATTCCTTTAAATTCCAAGCCTTGATGACTGACAAGAGACTGTGGAGGTAGCTCAAAGAGCTGGAGTGCTTGCTTTGCATGTGGGACCCTGAGTTCTATCCCTAGCAACATAGCACTCCACTTCATGTGGGGGAGGGGGGAGTAAGAGAAGGGAAAGGAGGGAGGAAGAAAAGAAGGGAGAGAGGGAGGGAGGGAGGGAGGGAGGGAGGAAGGAAGGAAGGAAGGAAGGAAGGAAGGAAGGAAGGAAGGAAGGAAGGAAGGAAGAAAGGATGGATTTCAAATGAGGATTATCCAGAGCACCCAACCAAGGTTGAAACAGGACCAGGATGTGTGGCCTCTCAGTGTGTGGTAACAACATTCAACTGAAAATAAAAACAACTGTCATCATCATCATCAACAACAACAACATGTGTGTGTATATATATATAAAATACAGTTATCCTGCTGTTGCAAATTATTGTTCTGTTTTCAGATGACTCTATTTTTAAATAATTTTTATGACATTGATGTGGAAAGTTGATTATTCCCTTTCTTTAATCTCAACTTTACGGCTGGCAGAGCAGTCCCTTCAGAAAAATGCCAGACTACGCCCAAGTTCAGTTCTTCATTAGAATGATCTAATAAACTCTTGTCTAACTTTCACTGAAACCTTGTACACACTAGAACTGTTGGCTTCATAAACAATGTGACTATTTTTCAAGATCAAACTTGAAGTAACTATTTATTCATTTTAGTTATCTACAGGAGCCATATCTAGCAGTGCTTGGGCCCACAAGGGACATCGCAGTATGCATCAGGACTGGGCAGTGGTGAGGACCAATCCAGGATCAGCACATATAAATCATGTGCTCTGTTCTCCAGTCACATCCCCGGAAATATTATTAAAGAAACAGAGAACATATATCTTCCTAAAACAAAATTCTAAAATACATACTTCAGAAAGAAAAATGACCCCAAGTGGAAGGTCTTAGAAGAAAGAAAACAAGAATGAATAAAGATACTGGCAAATACACGGTTAAGCTGGTAAGTAACATGGGCAATAGCAATGTCAGGTGTATAAAGTAATGATGATGTATAAGTTACAGGGTTCAAAAAATACTGGACACTAAATTATCTTTTTGTTTTGTTTTAATTTTTATTAGTGAAACACCAGTTGTAGACTTACACATTTTTGTGCTTGGGTTTCATTTATACAATGATCGAGTACCCATCCCTCCACCAGTGCCCATTCTCCACCACCAATGATCCCAGTAGCCCTCCCACCCCCCATCCCCCCTATCCCACCCTGCCTCTGTGGCAGAGCATTCCCTTTTGTCCTCTCTCTCCTTTTGGGTGCTGTGGTTTGCAAAAGAGGCATTAAGTGGCAATCATGCTTGGTCTATAGTCTACTTTCAGCATGCATCTCCCATCCTGGGAGGATCCTCCCAACACCCTTTACTTGGTGCTCCCTTCTCTATCTGAGCTGACTTTTCCCCCGATCATGTGTTGCTGGCCTCCAAGCCATGGAGTAATCCTCCTGGTACTTATCTCGGCTATTCTTGGATATTAATCTCCTATTTTGTTACTTTATATTCCCCAGATGAATGCAATCTTTCTATGTCTGTCCCTCTTTTACCTGACTCATTTCACTTAGCATGATACTTTCCATGTAGTACCACTTGTATGTAAATTTCATGACTTCATCTTTTCTAACAGCTACATAGTACTCCATTGTGTACATGTACCAGAGTTTCTTTAACCAGTCATCAGTTCTCAGGCACTCAGGTTTTTTCCAGATTTTTTCTACTGTGAACAGTACAGCAATTAACATAGAAGTGCAGATGTCATTTCAACTTGGACACTAAATTATTTTGGTTCTGCTTCGGGGTAGGGATTGGGGTTCAGGATGGAAGGTACAGAAATATCCAAACTATGGTGGTGAGAAGGTACAATGGTGGTAGAACTGGTGTTTGAATATTAAATGTAATCAAATATGTTGAGCTAATTTATAAAAATTAAATTAAATTAAAATAAAATTTTTTAAAATACTGGACAATAAAGATCTATACATTGGAACCAATAAAGTTTCCAATATATTATCAGAATTAAATTATTCTAAGTTCTGGAATTTTCAGGATACTAATTAGAAATTATATTAATAATTTACATTAAAGGGGCAGAAATATAGCACAGAATATAAGGTGTTTCCCTTGCACACAGCCCACTCTGGTTTGATCCCTGGTACCACATATGGTCTCCTTAGCACAGAGCCAGAAATAAATGCTGAACACCACAAAATAAAAACGAACAAAAAAGAATGCATATTAAAATATCTTAAATAATAATAAACTTTAAAAAGGCAGAAAAGAGGAAAACAGTGAATAAAATAGAAAAATACGTATCTAAGGAAAAGAATTTATGAAAATTTAAAAAAATTGGATGAAAGAAATAATTGTAAGTTTAGAAATCAAACATATAAGTAATCATAATCAACATAAACATAAGCTTGCCATCTGGTTTATGATAATGCTTCTCAAAATAGGAGGAAAAACAAAAATGTGTTCTCCTGAAAAGAGACACAGCTGAAAGATGAGGACACAAAAGAATTGAAAGAAAGATCTGGAAAAGAAGGATGAGGCAAATACCAAAATAAAGGCTGCACAGAAAATGTTCAAATCAATAAAACAAATGGAAAAGCATAGAGCATTCTTAGAGATAAACATAAATTCCCTAAGAAGATTTATGGAATCTCAACATGCATGCATTTAATTAACAGGGCCTTCGAGTATAAAAAGCAAGTGCTGGCATTTCCACAGGAAGGCACTGTCAGATCCACCACTACTAAGTGAGATTTGCACATCCCTTCTTCGTGACCAACACCAAGCAGACCAAGAAAAAAAAAAAAACTAGAGAAGAAAGGGAGGAAGGAAGGGAATGAAATACCTCAAAAGCATACAATTAGGGGCTGAAGAGCTAGCTTAACAGAGGTTAAGGCGTATGCCTTGCACACAGCCAACCTACTTCATTCCCTGGTATCACACCATCCCCTGAGTATTGCAGGGTGCAGGCATGGAGGCCCCAGTGACACTTTCTTGGCCCCGGCACTGAACTCCCAACCCAGTTGGCCAGGAATCATCAGGAGGGACTGCTAGGTCTCCTGAGTTCCACTGGAGAGACCCCCCTGAAATCATAAAACTAATCCGAGTATCCTATTTGGATGAATCTATTTCCTCTTCAATCTAAGAAATACAAAGTTGTTATATCCCCAAATTAGAGAACATACAACCTTATCTTTACTTATGTAAGGTGAGCACAAACCAGACAATAAAGTTAGCCTAAACACTCTCAAGTGAACAGCATACAGACAATAATGCTATTAAAATAAGTAAAAGAATATAATAACACAAACACACTGGGTTACCAGGGCCGGAGGAGGGGAGTTTTTCTTTTTAAGTGGGTCAGTGCAAACAGTTTGAGTTTCTGTCTGAAAAAAAAAAAACTCTTGCAGATGAGCATCATGATTGCATGCTAATAAGACTCAGACCTGTGACAGCAAAACACGAGGAGCAAGACAGAGCCAGACCAGGAGAATGAATAAATAAATGATGGAACAGTCGATGAGAGACAGCATAGAAAGTGAAAATAAGGCTATTATTGCTGCATGCATCAACATGGGTGCATTTCAGATCCAAAGAGTGCGGTTCTGTTGAATCAAGTCCAGAGAATATAAAACTCTTGAGCATACTCCTCGGAGATCTATTTATTATGCAGTGAAATCTGAATTAGAGAGAATTTAAGAAAATTTTGCTCCTTGGTAGAGGCATCAAAGTAGCCTCAAGGAAGGGTGGGGGTGGAAGGAACACACTTCTCTCTTAAGTCAGATATTTTGTTATTGATGTATATATGTTCACATATATTAAAAACATTCTTTTGTATATATCATATCTATATATACACATATATGTACACATTTGTATGTATCTGATTCCCAAGCTGAGTTATTATTTCCAGAGCTGACTGTTCATTTAAAATACACGGTAGGAGCTGGAGACGTAGCACACTTTAGACACCTGCATGCAACAGATCCTGGTTTGATCCCCAGAACCAGAAGCAACACCAAGCACTGAGAGGTTTAGCCCTGCCACATCCCCAAATCCGACAGAGTCAAAAAGTTAGTATGGAATCAAGGGGCTGGTCTCTTACGTGACCAACCCGGGTCCACTATCCAGCACTATACATGGTCCCCTGAGTACTGCCAAGAGTGACCCCTGAGCACAGAGCTAGGAGAAACCCTCAAGCACCACTAGATGTGGCCCCCAAAATGTAAATAAATAAATAAATTTAACAAAATATCTGGAAAGATGCTCTGGTTTTTAACTCGTCATTCTTTCCTTTTAGTGGAAGAAGAGAATGATTTTATGTAAGAGTAGAATACCACCCAAAGAAGCTATTTCAACACTTTAAAATATGTCCCGTTGGCTCCTGGCAGGTTGCCAGCACCTCTGTACTGATGAGCATCATCAGTACATCATCAGTACTGAGTGACATGCCTATGATGGCCTAAGATACCGATTCCTTCTGAGAGCAGGTCTACATTAGGATTCAGACATGCCCATGAATGTAATGCCCTGATGACTCAGGGATGGGAAACCTGACACATTCCACTCAGGACTTAAAGCTGTCCACTTAGTTTCAGGAACACAGGGGGTTCAGGATGGCATGACACCAATGACTCAATTCTTCACCAGAGGACCAAGCACCAATGGCTCAATTCTTCACCAGAGGGCTATACACAGAAGGTATATAAAAACCCAAATCACCAAGTTAGACAGGAAATACAGCAACATTTCTGCATGTATTTAGAAATTTACCTCTGAACCCTTGCAGAGCTTGGCAAGCTCTTCATGGCATATTCAATATGCCACAAACAGTAACAATACTGTCTCATTCTCCTGACCCTGAAAGAGCCCCCAATATGGCACTGTTGGGAACGATGAATAAGGAGAGGCTGCTAAAATCTCAGGGCTGTGACGAATAGAGAATACTGGCGCCCACTTGACCAAGTTGATGAACAACAGGAAGAGTGATACAGTAATACCTCCGAATCTATCCACCTCCACTTAAAACAAAGAATAGCAGCTGGAGAGATAGCACAGGGCATAAGGTCTTGTACATGGTCAACCCTAGTTCAAATCCCCAGGCCCACAGAAGGTCATTCCAAGCACTTCTAGGAGTAATCCCTGAGCAGAGAGTCAAGAACAGGCCCCTGAGCACCACCGGGCATGCCACCCTCCCTCAAATAAAAATAAGAGAGATTTATAAGTTTCAGTATGCCATCTTGTCTTTTTATGACATCTTATTGTCTCATTCCTACTTTGGACAAACTTGCAGGCTATCGAATGTAGCCTGCCCACAGGGCAGAGTCTGGCAAACTCCCTGTGGCGTACCAAATATGCCAAATACCAGTAACAATGATGGGTCTCATTCTCCTAAAAAGCCTTGAATATAATCTCAGGGTTAGGATAAAAGAGATGTTACTGGGGCCTGTTCGAGGCAATCGACGAATAACAGGATGATGAGATGAAAATGAAATGAAAATGCCATCTTGTCTATTGCTCCTTCCCCACCAACTTGAATAAAATGAAGACCCTCATCCATTCAGGTAACCGTGGAGATACATTGGTCAGGAGAAGACAGATGTGCATGGGCTAGGAGGAGACAAAAACATCTTTTATATAAAAAGACACAAATTCTGAATTACTAGGAGTTCTAAACAAACAATGACATACCTCATGTTTTAAATCTATTGTAAAGTCGGATTTCAAGGATTCACTCTTTAACCTCTTGGTAAGCCTAGAAAATAGAGACAATTTTATTGTTTAAAAAAATACAGACACACAAAAAATTGTAAATCTACAACTTTAAAAAAAATAAAATAAAATAAAGGGGAAAAAAAAAAATACAGACAAAAACAGCCCTTAATTGAACATCTCTGAGAGAAGAATCCAATTTTAAGATAAAATTTAGAGTTTAATTTCTTTGAGACAAAGAATTACAGAAATACAACTATTTACTGGTCAGCAAATGAATGCTTCCTTGTTACAAATGTTAGCATTCATTATTTTAACATCAGGCCTATGATACAAATACAGTATGGTAAAGTTAAGGTAAAGGCCCTCCCGTTGATCATCGATTTGCTCGAGCGGACCCCCTAATGTCTCCATTGGAGACTTTGTTGTTACTGTGTCTGACATATCGAATACTCTCGGTAGCTTGCCAGGCTCTCCGAGAGGGGCGGAGGAATCGAACTCAGGTCGGCCATGTTGGCCGCTTGTAAGGCGAACGCCCTACCCGCTGTGCTATTGCTCCAGCCACAAATACAGTATAGTATACTATAATACAATACCATATAATGTAGTACAACACCTTCAATAAAAGGAAAACATGAAGTTTATTTGATATACCTTTCATAGTAAGAAAAATCAAGCTCCCGGAAGAGAACAAGGCAGAGTCTCCTGCCCCCGCACCTCGCTGTCCTCAACGGGGCCCCTTGGAGGAGTGCGGGTTGAGTTTCCCTCTCCACCCCGAGCAGAGCTCCGACAGCTGAAGACCTCTGGGACCCAGCCAAAGATATGCTGAGACCACTCTCCACACACTTGGACAAGGAACCGGCAGAGGAATCCAGGTGTGCGGGACTTGGGGCTGAGATCTCCAAGCCTGCTCGGTTCGAGACTGGGCCTCCTCCACCCATCTCTCCCACCTTCCAGTAGCCAGACAGTTACACCCACCAACTGCTGTGTAACCCCATCAATGTCCAGGATCCAGAAACTCTAAAACCAAGCTCCCGGAAGCATGCGACCGCATTTGCGGCCACACGACCCCTTTTTCTTTAGTTCTCAATCTCAGAGAACCCGGTAGGCTACTGAGAGTATCATACCTGCCTATATGCCTGACTAGAAACACCTGTGAAGATGATTAGAGACTGCCCCAAAAGCTTCCATCCCTCTCAGAGAGCCCGACAAGCTACCGAGATTATCCCACCTGCCTGCACGGCAGAGTCTGAGAAGCTAACCGTGGCATACTCGATATGTCAAAAACAGTAACAATGAATGGTCCTCATTCCCTTGATCCTGAAGGAGCCCCCAATATGTCATCAGGCTACACTAGCACATGACAGGGACGAATGGAGACATTACTGGGCCCGCTCAAGCGAACTGGTGAACAACAGGGTGATAGTGATAGTGATAGTGATAGAATATCAAATAGCAGATAATGAAAAGGGAAAAACTTGTGTGAGAGGAAAAAAAAAACAGAAGTTTCTACTTCTTCCAGGCTCCTACTTTTAATAACTCAATAAAGTAATTGATAGTTTTAGGGGGAAAGGATGTGGTATCAAGGAAGACTATCAGCCGATTTTAAGTCATTTTCTTCAAAGGCTCCTTTCAATATGAAAGAAAAACCTGACCCTTGACCTCAGAATCAAGCCAAGGTAAAGGAGAAGAGAGCCCAGCAGAAGGAGGTAGAAGTATATACTTACCAAGACCACCCAAATACCACTCCTCTCAAATGCCACTGAGTTCTCTGTTACAGGTCTGAGACCAGACCACCACTTTCAATTACAAATCTTCCATGTTTTAACTACTAGGAAATTCTTTTTAAAAGGAAATGTCATAGTAAGTTTAAAAGCCCTTTACTGAGTTTTCAGCCCAGTCGAACCACAAAGATTTCCCTTAAATTTACTTTTAATGAGAAGAAGGATCCAGAGAACACAGGCCATAATTTGTGTCTAGTTATAAAGCACTACCTCCTTCTGCTTGGAATCAAGGACTCTAAGGTCCTCGGCCATGCTGGCTGTCCACTGCCCATTTTGACCAGGCACAGTGGCTAGTGGTAGTGATACAGATGTCCTGAGAGAATCATGTACACAAAAGATCGCCAAGTTTATGGGATTGTCCTAATCCAGGACTAAAGAAGGTTCTTATTTATTCTGGTGGGGAAGGATGGGAAAGTTTCACACAGAAGTGACTCTTGAATTTGATCTTGAAAAGTCTGTCAAACCAAGGCGTGAGAGGGCTGTGGTAGGCAGCTCTATGGGGAAGGAAAGGAGCAGGTGTGGCTAGTATGTAGGTGGAGTAGCTGGGGTGGATGAAGGAACTTCTGGACTCTTCCCTCCAACCTGGTTGAAATGAAGGATAACCAAGAAGCCCCATGCAATCTTTGCCATAATCCGCTTGATACATAACTACAGATTTGTGAATATGAAAGATATAAAAAGAGACTATGTCTTCAGACACAATTTTGATAAACATGGAGAGAGAAAAACTATGCCTTGCCCAATGGGATTTTGTCCGGTCTGAATTCTGCTTGGTTGGAAATCATTCTTATGAATAAACTCTGTCAAGGTAACTTTGGAGTTTGGACTCATGCCAAATGCCTTCAAAATTTGATCAAACAACATTCAGATTCTAAAGGCAGAACTAAGTTAATCCTGGGCTTGTTGCCACAGGCAAAGGACATCAAATTGTGCTCAGAATCCCCTACAGTATATGACATCTGATTGGGCACACACCACAAGCCCCCTCTTTTAAGACTGTGTTTTAAGACAATCAATTTCTCTAAACAGTTCTAAACATGTTTTGAATACTTTTAATTTTAAATGTCTTTCTCAAAAATTTTCTTCAGAGGGTAAGGGTAGGAGATGTGAAGACTGCTAACAGAATATCTTTGAGATAAACACTGATTGATTAGAGGACAAAATGATATATGCAGGGAAGTTTTTAAGTGACTTTGGGTTGATTTGATTGCTGAGATTGGGGCTTACTCCTGGCTCTGTGCTCGGGGTTTACTCCTGGCGGTGCTCGGGGACCTTTTGTGGTGCCAGGGATTGAACCTAGACTGACAGTATGCAAGGCAAGTGCCCTGCCTCATGTACCATCTCCCCAGCCCCTACATTACTATTCTGAGAAAACTACTCAGTCTACAATAAAACTAAAGGTTACTTCAATCTCACCAACTTCTTACCAATAATCAAGGCCTCGGTGACACCTCACATCTAAGTCAGTCATCCTGCAAATTCAAATCTTAACCGAGACAAAGGTGTCCAGCTAACTCAACAGGAAACTGATTTCTTGAAGAAAAAATGAGACTCCTTTATTAGGAAACCATTTTAAAATATATCTGAGCACAAAAACCATTCCTTAGCCAGATGGGTTATATCAGTGTTTATCTGATTAATTTGTCTGTCTCACAAGAAAAAGGAAATAGCATCTAAGAGGAATAAGGCATTATGGGAACGCCTCTGTTTCTCCTTAATTCTGCTTTTTACTGTCTATATAATGGAGGGAGATCGAAGATATGATTAATGACAAGCATGCTTTGATAGTCACTGCCATGGCTGCAGAAGCAGATGCACTGGACACAGGGTAATTAAGTCGGCATCTACTGCGTCAGAGCTAAGAATGGAGTGACAGGAATTTTCCAAACTTATGTAAAAGATCAGTTTCTTGCCCCGAAATCCCTCAGCCCAAGTTTTCCCTACCCTGGGTAGGAAACAGTATCAAGTGTCACCAGAAAAGAGTAATCTGACACTTATCAATAGATGTTTTTAGGGACCTCAGAGCCATGAACTGAAAGCAAACCATGTGCCCAGGGAACAACTTCAAGAACAGAGACTCCCAGATTTATCGGACTTATGGCCATCCTTCCAAAAAAGAAAAAAAATCACTCTGGCCCCTCTAGATATCTACCTCCTTTAAGCAAACAAGCAGAAAGTGTCCTTCAACTATACCTAAAGCTATGACCGCTCCCCACTGCCCATCTTGCCGTAGACCCATATTGGGAAACATTGCACCACACAGTGCTAGGTAATTTACAGCACCACGTCTCCCCTAAATAAGTATCTTGGCTAGTGAAGAAACTAAAGCCCAGTTCACAAAGCCCCTAGTACTCATGGTAAGCTTGAGGTGATAAAGAAATAAACCAGTGGGCTGGAGTGACGATACAGTAGGTAGAGTACTTGCCATGCATGTGGCTGATCCAGGTTCAATCCCCAACATTCCATATCATCCCCTGAGCACGGAGCTAGGAGAAAGCCGCGGGCACAGCCAGGTGTGGCCCAAAAACCAAGAAGAGAAAGAAAGAAAGAAAGAAAGAAAGAAAGAAAGAAAGAAAGAAAGAAAGAGAGAGAGAGAGAGAAAGAAAGAAAGAAAGAAGTCAGAACCAACCAAATCTAGCAAAATTCTGGATGTCTCCATCTTATGAGCAGTGTAAGCAGAGGGCAGAATCCAAAGAACCAAGAGATTTTTGTGGAACAGGTTATAAATTAGTGCCAGCATGCCAAGCAGTGAGAGCTAATCCCACCTCTCCTATAGCAGGCTGCAAAGAGACATTCTAACAAATATCTCATCAAACCAGTTGCTTAAAAGAGAAAGTTAAGAGATAAGGAGGTAACTCAAGGAGCTCTAGGTTTGATGCCCAGCACCCCAGCATCAGCAGGAGCCAGAGTAGCTCCACAAAAATGAGGGTCACTTAAAAAGAAAGCAAGAATTCAGTCAATTCATGCATCCTGAGTCAATAAAAACTGAATTGAGTTCAACATCAAGAGATCTCCAGGAAGGTGCTAGCTAGGTAGGAAAACTATGATGGAAAGAAGAAGGTAGAAACTCTCCAGACTCCCAGGATTAGGCATGGAGGTTGGAGGTTAGACAGGCTCCAGACATTGATTAGTTCCGAGACCTTCAGCCTTGGGCATGCATTAGACTCGTTTCCTCTTTAGCTCTGGGCAGAAGGCGCTGTCTATGCTCAGAGCTCTCAGAGAAGAGCCTATAGTTGGTCTGTTCCTCTCTCAAGGGATATGGTTGGTTCTCCAAGGAAAGGAGGAAAATAAACATATGCAGATCATGCAATCTTCGAGTCAGAGTAAACATAACCACCTGGGCCTCTTCCATAAAGAAGTCAACCTACATAATTCCATGTTATGACACTAAAGGAAAGTAAGGGAAGAATTAAAGAGAGCCTCCCCTTGCTACTGGGGGTGGGAAAACAAAGAATGGGAAGCAAAGGAACAGTGCTCCAGCTTCAGTGACTGGCAGCTGTACCTCCTGCCAGGTCCCTGTTCAATTATGTACATCCAGGCACATGATTGGTCATCAATCCTCACAGCAGGAGAATTACTGATCACCTTTCTTTCTAATCATCAAATACATGCCTGTAGCTAACTGTTTACTTACTATAGAAATACTCTCTGGTGTTCAATTCTCAAGAGCCCTAATGCACTGGCTCGCCCTTAGCCCGACAATTTATCCCTTGCCTTCTCCTGCAGGTGAGTAAAAGGGAGCACAGAGAGCGAGTGATTCACTCGGGAGCACCAGAAGTGACAGAGCAGACACAAGAAGCCACAGCTGTGTCACTTCTGCTATAGGTCTTTCCACTCTACTACACAATTCATCTGCCTTAAAACCTCGCTGGAGACCCAGTAATTATAATATTCAGCAAAATGAAAGTTATATATACACATACATACACAAATGTCCACACACATTCTAATGAATGCTTACTTGTTTACTAGTGGAATACTGAGGGCCCAGCCAGCAGCGAAGTCTGGATATTTAAAAATTGTAGGACTTTCAGAAAAGGCATAATGGTGAATGATTGTCGATTCTTCATCATGTAACGCTTTCCCCAAGAACCATTCCTATTAAGTAAAAATATAAAATGTCAATTTAAAAAGTGCCATTCCATATAAGACTAAAAAACAAGGATGTATTCATTTTAGCTAAATACTCTGAGATAGAGAATTAGCACAAATGACATACTTTCAAAGAATTTCAACAGATATATAATTTAACTCATAATCTTATGGTAACAAAATCAACATAATCATATATATAAAGTAATTGCCGGGGCTGGCCACTACCCAACTGCCGCCACACTCCAAGTCACTTTCCACATGCTCTGGCCGAGCCTCACATATGAGTGAACATATTCCTTGACCGCGCAGCTGCTTTTGAGGCCGCATGACACATCATAAGACATTCCCTACCCAGGGGGCTGGAGAGATAGCACAGCGGGTAGGGCATCTGCCTTACATGCGGCCAACGCGGGTTTAATTCCCAGCATCCCATATGGTCCTCTGAGCACCTCCAGGAGTAACTCCTGAATGAAGAGCCAGGAGTAACCCCTGTGCATCGCCAGGTGTGACCGAAAAAAGCAAAAAAAAAAAAAAAAAAAGACATTCCCTACCCATTTTCCATAATAAAAATCATAGAGAGAAATATATGTGGGCTGGAGTGATAGCATAGTGGGTAGGGCATTTGCCTTGCACGCGACCAACTTGGCCGACTGGGGTTCGATTCCTCCTCCCTTCTAAGGCATGCTAGTGCTACAGTGCCACTTGGAGAGCCCAGCAAGCTACCAAGAGTATCCTGCCCGCATGGCAGAGCCTAGCAAGTTACTCATGGCATATTTGATATGCCAAAAACAGTAACAATAACAGATCTCATTCCCCTGACCCTGAAAGAGCCTCTAATACGGCAGCATTAGGAAAGACGAGTAAGGAGAGGAGCTAAAATCTCAGGGCTGTGACAAATGGAGATGTTACTGGAGCCGACTCAAGTGAAGCGAAGAACAAATGGATGACAGTGATACCGTGATACAGTGATAAAGCAGTTAAATGCTAATAGCTCATTATACCTTAAGTAAATAAAGTGGTTACTTATGAGATGTTTCCTATCAAAACACTACTAAGATAAAGGTAAGGTAAAGGCCCTCCCGTTGATCGTCGATTTGCTCGAGCGGGCCCAGTAACGTCTCCATTGGAGACTTTGTTGTTACTGTGTCTGGCATATCGAATACTCTCGGTAGCTTGCCGGGCTCTCCGAGAGGGGCGGAGGAATCGAACTCGGGTCAGCCATGCTGGCCGCGTGTAAGGCGAATGCCCTACCGCTGTGCTATCGAGCGATAGCACAGCAGTAGGGCGTTTGCCTTGCACGCGGCCAACATGGCCGACCCGAGTTCGATTCCTCCGCCCCTCTCAGAGAGCCCGGCAAGCTACCAAGAGTACCTCGCCCCCACGGCAGAGCCTGGCAAGCTCCCCGTGACGTATTCGATATGCCAGACACAGTAACAACAAAGTCTCCAATGGAGACGTTACTGGGCCCGCTCGAGCAAATCGACGATCAACGGGAGGGCCTTTACCTTTACTACTAAGATAAATAATATATTCTTCATGGCCAACTGAGTTTAGAAAAAGAAAATTCTTCTAAATTTCCTTCCAGGAGTCAAAGGAAGTATGTCTTGTAGGGTATATTTCCTGCATATAGTTGACCCATGTCCAACCCCTGGCATCACACAAACAGTCCCTTGGCCCCTGCCATAAGTGACCTCTGAGCACAGAGCCACGATTAACCCAGAGCACTCACAGGTTTGGCCCTAAGACCAAAACAAAAGAATATATTTTATCCCAGAACTAACACCTGATTTGCCCATTTACTGACTTATTCATGATTCTGAATTATTATCACTAACATTTTAACATTTATTCCAGACCAGGAGGGAGCATAATTCACAAAATAATGAAGAGAGACAATAAGCAAATGATAAAAGGCAAAGTCCCTGGAATAACATCTTTACAATGATAGAAGAAAAGTAATGAAATCCACACTCCATACCTAATAAAATGATCTTGAGTGGAATAAAAAAAAACACTGGAAGCATTTCAGCAGACACGTGTTGGCATATGAACTACAAACAGGATGGATCCTGAGCTTGGCAATAGTAGGAACTAGATGAACAAGAAGTTTATAATAATGGTGAAGGCAAGAAACTATGGCACCTTTGACTAGAGCGGTTGTATTAAATATGGAGAGAAGCTGGATGAGAAAAATATTTTGAAGGGTTATACAACTGGACATGGAGTTGATGGGGAAATATCATGGGGAAATAAATATGGTCAAGAAAAATCAGTCACAGGCTTTAGTTTTATTATACAAGTATCCCGTTAAACAATTATTCCATTTCTGATATGAAGAATACCAAAACAGAAGAGGTTAAGAGGCTGTTGAGTATGAAATTCTTATTGGACAGAGTGGCAGAAGTGATAAGTACAAACTAACCCAAGAGTAGTGGGTATGTGGCTCATTCCCTCAGTTCTTTTACACTCTGACCAGAGAGGCCTTCCCCTGACCTCTACACAGTCCTCCTAGAATCAATCTCTTACTTTATTTTATTCCTCTTTATTTTTCTCCACGACACTCATTACCATACTTACTGTCAAGCGCTACCACATTAAGGATTAATGCCTTAATCCTTGTACAATCTCTAACCTCAAATTTATGTTTGTCTGCTCTTTGTTTGGGGTCACACCTTGCAGTGCTCAGGGGTCACTGCCTGGCACTTCCCAGGGACTATCTTCAAATATGCAGTCTGTATTCAAATCAGTATGGTGGACACAGGCACATGCTTAACCTTTGTACCATCTCTCCAGTCCCAATTAACATTTAGCTCACTAGTTTTCTACTGTTACAATCATCTGAAAAATAACTTTATACAGAACACATTTTTAGGCTTAACTCCTAGTGACATGGTTCATATAAGACTTAAATTTTTTTCTAGCATTTTTGCAGAGGATTACACTACAAACTACTAAGTTAAAATGAAATGTATGGAAAAATGGATTCCCTGTATTAATGATTTTATCATACAATAGTAAGTTATCATCATGATAAACTGTAAAAATATATCTCAATGTCCTATTTTATTTTGGATTTACATTTTATTAGCACCTGTGCTTCGCCTTTATTAAAAACGAAAAGGTCACGATACATCAGCAAATGTACTCTTATATTAAAAGTCCAGAGCAGAGGAAAAATTACTCCACCAAGATATACAAATCATCTAGAAAAGCAATCTAACAGAGATGAATTACTTTAATAAAAACTATTTTCTATTGAAAATATTGTATAACAGCATAAATTTGCCTCAGCAAGAATGATAGAAGGATAATAAAAGAAAGTGTCATAATCAAGAAAAATAACTGATACAAAGTCACATAATTATTACTGTAATACTTTGTTTCAATACCAAAGCCAGGATTGTTTTATGACTTTCTCTAACTTTCAGATAGTAACAGGGAAAACCACATTGGTTTGAGCTAACTTCAATTTCTTGTGTTTTTTTTAATCTAATGCTAGTTTCAAAAGTAATGAAATATTCTTTTTTTCCCCCTCATGGTAGAATTTAGAAAAGAGAGGGAAAGTATTTCATTTTACCTCTGTTCTGTACTGGCTTTTCATGAACTTGCTTTGAACTTTCAAATTTATCATTCCAATTTTCACTAAAAACTTACTGAGTCACCCTCTTCTGTTCAGAATTAGAGCTATGGAAAATGGAAAAAAAAATAATCTCCAGGTAAAATGAACATCAGGAGGAAATTAGTACTCCTACATTCCCAAAAATATTTGGGAGTTTTTCTCAAGTCAAAAGGAAACTATAAAAGTGAACCTAATGTTCTACATTAACAATCTGGGGGGGGGGGGGGGTGCGCAGAGCACATAGATGCTGCTTGGCATCATATGAAAAGACAGGATGAGACACAGTTATAATCACATTCTTTGAGAGAATTATTATTTAACCTATCAATCTTTTCATCATTTACATCTCTATCTTCCCTAAAGTCAAAAGCATGAGGAGAAATCATAATGGTTCCTTTCAGCCTTTAAAGAACACTGACGTGCTCTGACAACAAAATTAAAATTAAGGTTACCTGAAGTGGGAGGGACGGCAGAGACTACAGGGTGGGGTGGAAGTACAGGGTGGAATGGAAGAGATATTACGGACTATGGTAGAAGGCACTGTGGAGAGAGATGTGGTCTGGTAACACTGTCTTCCCAAAACCTATAAACATTCACATCCATAAACTAATGTTACCTCAATGACTTAATAATGCTTTTAAATTAAAATATAAATTTCCTTCAAAAAACCATTGAGATAAGTGGCTTTATTTCCGTAATAAACATCCCATAATTTGAAAAATCAATTTTAAAATACACCATTCTTCAACAGTGATTTAAATCACTGTCATTTGTTTTGCAAGACATCAACAAACCTCTAAGGTAGCCAGAAGATACCCATCCTTCCCATGTCCTTATTTAAGAGAGAGATTCCAGCCTGGAATGGAATCAGAATTTGGGTGTGCCCACAGACTGGGAGAGGTTATTAACCCTTTATCACTCATAATATTAGGGGTTAATATACAAAATATATAAAGCACTCAAAGAACTTTACAAAAAAAATAAACAACCAACCCCATCAAAAAATGAGAGGGATATCAACCCCTTGTCAGATCCTCCCAGGGTGGAAGAAGCATGCTGAAAGTAGACTATAGACCAAACAAGACTGCCACTCAATGCCTCTCTTGCAAAACCAGTACCCAAAAGAAGAGAGAGAGAACAAGGGGGAATGCCCTGCCACAGAGGCAGAGGGGGATGGGGTAATGGGGGTGGGAGGAAGGGATGCTGGGACCCGTGGTGGTGGAGGATGGGCACTGGTGGAGGGATGGGTATTTGATCATTGTATAACTGAAATCCAAGCACAAAAATTTGTAAGTCTACAACTGTACCTCATGGTGTCTCACTAATAAAAAAAAAAATGAGAGGGAAAGATCAACAGACTCTTGCTCAAAGAAGACATACAGATAGCCAAAAGATACATAGAAGAAATGATCTAAAGCACTTATCATCAGGGAAATGCAAATCGCAACAATAATATTAGATATTATCTCACACCAGTGAGACTGTCACACAGCACAAAGATCAAAAACAACCAGTGTTCGCATGGATGTAGGGAAAAGGGGACCCTCATTCACTACTGCTGGGAACTCATCCAATACTGGTGGGAATGTTGACTGATGCTGCTTTTTGGGAAAACAATATGAACACTTCTCAGAAACCTAGAAATTGAGCTTTCATACGACTCAGAAATTCTAGTTCCTGGCATTTACCTCAAGGCCAAAAGAATCTACTCAGAAAAGACATTTTCAACCCTATGTTCACTGCAGCACTAACACAATAGTCAAAATCTGGGAACAGCTCAAGAACAGATGATGTGATAAAGAGACTGATACATGCTGAGTTGAGGTTCGTCAGAAGGAGAAGGGCAGATGAAAAATAGCTCTCGCGTATGTGGGCTATAAAGAAACATGGCAGAAAAAAGAGCAGATGCACATAAGAAACAGTGAGAACTAGTTTCCAGTAAGGAGGCTCACCACAGGGGAGGACGGGGGGGGGAGGGGAAAGGGGACAATGGTGGACGGAGGTGGACACTTCGGTGGAAGATGTGGTACTGGAATTTTTATGAATGAAATCATACTAACTTACAGTTTTATAAACCACATTGCTTTAAAAAAATTAAGAATATGAGTGTGAAAGCAGAAAGGGATCAATGTATGTGCAACTGTACTGATTCCTATTTTATGGAATTCTAGGAGTGTTTCCAATAGTCAGAATAAACTCTTTTAGGAAGACCTGCCCTCTTGAAACACCAGAAACAAACTATGTATCTGACTGGCTCGTCACCCTAGTGCACCTAATGAACACAGGCACGGGGGTTCACGCGAAGGTGGGTCACTGAAGGGCCAAGTGCTGAAGGACCTGGGAGAGGGTGGCTGGCGCTACAGCCACAACCTTAGCAGGACAAGTCGGGCAACACTGTTTGTGGATGATCAGCAGGCAGAGGATTCCCACTTCTCCAGAATTCGAGGGAGCTCCTTCACACCCAGCACTGCCTGCTGACAGTGAAATCCAGTGATGCTGGCTGGCAGCGTGTGGTAGACTGAGTCCCCTCCGCTGATACTAGGACATCCAGATGCCTCCAAGCTAAGCTTTTCAAACTCCAGCATACTGAAGCTCTGCTTTGAGGAGCACGTAGTGGCACACACCACTGCTCAGGCTGGAACCTGGTCCAGTGACGAGGGGAGAGATCTTATTTTAACTCTCTTGCAGGATTGCTTTTTACAGACGCTATAGCCAGCAGTGCTCAAGGACCAGGGGTCCACATGCCTGGCAGCTCTTCCCTGGTAAGAGCACATGGTGCCTGGGTGCAGAAGCACTAGGGAGCCACAAAGAACACAGCCAGCAGTGCCCAGGGAGCAGTGCAATGACTGAGTTCCAGGCCCTGCATAGGTTCAGAACATGCTCAACCACATGAGTTACCTCTCGGGCACAGCAAGGATTTCACGGTCTTGGTGGCCTTCCTCCACAAAAAAATATTAACTCAAGAACCCCACTCCAAGGTGCCTTGCTCCCTGTCACCCCCACACACAAGTATTACCAAGTTCAAGTATTACCAAGCAAGGCCCCCACATCCTTTAAGCATCTCTTGGGGTGATGAGAAAAATAACAGTAAAAGTATTCATTATTTGCCTATGATACACTATTATACAAAACCCTAGAGGCTCCCCGAAAGAACTACTGGAAATAATAAATAAATATGGAAGGGGGATTATACCAATATACAAAAAAAAGAAGGAAAAATGGTTACATTTCTATATGCAAACAACAAGGAAATAAATTAAGACAACAATCTCATAATCACATCAAAAACAATAAAATATCTGGGGGAAAACTTAACCCAGTTGAAAGACCTACACACACACAAAGTTACTGTCAAAAGCAACAGAAGACAACACAAATAAAAGGACGGGATCACATCAAATGTTCCTGGTATGGAAGAAAAAAGCACTGCTTCAAAAGTGGCAGTTTTAGATGCGTAAGTCCTTCACTCCCTTTTTAAGCTGATTCATAGGTATCTGATGCTTTTGAACACGATTTCAAATAGAACACATCTCCTAAAATTTCTCTTCTAACTCACTGCCTGCATACAGAAATACAACAGCCTTTTGTGTATTGCTTTTGTAGCCTGCTACTGGACTACATTGGTTTATCATTTGTAAGAGTTTTGGTTTGGGGTATTTTCTGTTGGGGTGAGAGCTGGGAGTCTCCCGAGCAATGTTCAGAAGGCTGCCCTGGTGACTCTCAGCTAACCAAGTTGGCAGTTTAATGCAAGGGCTGAGAATGAGGTGCTGCTGGGAGAATGTGGAGCCCCAGAACTCCTGGCAGCACTGGATCCCTCCAGGCCCACACCCATGGGTGCCCAGCAGTCTCCAGATCAGCACCCAGAGGTGCTCAGGGAAACCAAGTAGTATCAGGAATTCCCCCTAACCATTGTAGCATCTCCAGGCCCCTTTCTACTAGTTTTTTAGTGGTGTTCTTAGGGTTTTCTAGGAAAATTATCTTGTCATCTGTAAACAATGATAGTTTAACTTGTTATCAGAGAAAGGCAAATCAAAATGACAATGAGATATCATCTGACACTAGTGAAAATGGCAAGTATATATATAAGTCTGTGCACAGGTGCAAAGAGAACTTTCAAACTCTATTGGAAGTGTGAATTGGTACAACCTCTCTAATAAATGGTACAGAGAGTTCTTGAAAATTTAAAGCCAGAGGTCAAGGAGAATATATGCCTTGCGTTGGAGGCCCTGGGTTCAATCCCCCGCACTGCATGGTTACCCAACGAGCTCAGTATCACCAGGAAGACCCCCAAGGCCCCCATTCCTTAGGGTTGAGACACCTTCCTCCCGCAAAAAAACTAGAACTAAGAATACATGTAATCCAACAATACTATTCCTTGGTAATCATCCCAGAAATGCAAAAATACTCATTTGAAAAGATATATGCCCCCTTAAGCTCATGGCACTACTATACATAAGAAGTCAGACATGAAATCAACACAAATACACAATGATAGATGACTGGATATTGAAGTTGTGTCACGTACACTCAATAGAATTCTAGTCACTTCATTTAAAAGGCAAAATTCTGCCTTTTGCAGCAGCCTGGGTGGAAGCTGAGGTGATTATGTTAGGTGAAATAAATCAGAAAGCAAGAAACAATTACTGGATGGTATATCTCAGATGAGGAGTATAAATAATGAAAGCAAACAAATGAAATACAGCAGCTCTCAGATGCTGTGAAAAAATAATGATGGTTTCCAGAGGGGAGGGAGGGGGGAGGAAAAGGAGACCATCCGAACTTGTGATGTGCATGAGGTAAGGCATAAACGTCCAGGGAGAAGTTAAAATCCCTAAATTTATACAGTATGTAAACCAATGATACCCTAATAAATTATTATTTAATAAAATATAAATAGGATAAGCAAAAGAGAATTTCACACAAGGATCAGGGTATAAACTAGGGTTCGCCCTGAGAAATGGATAGCCTAATTTACTTTCTACAGCTCTCCAAGGCATCCATAAATACCTAGGACACCCAGTGTCCAGAGGGAAAGTTGACATTCCAGAGATGGTCATTCAACCATTCATGAATATTTATTGTTCAACTACCAAGTGTTAAACACTCTGCTCAGTTCTAGAAATTCAGAATGCAAACAGGATCCAATTGGCACCTTACATTTTATGTAAAATAAAACCTGAAAATAGTAAAGTAGCCATGAACCTCACACCTGAGTTTCTCAGATTTTTCCCTCTGCTAGAGCACACTTTCCTCTTGACACCTATTCATCTCACAGAATTCAGACCAAATGCCACTTCCTGCCATAATTATCCCAGATTAAGTTTAGCACCCTGGCACAGCTTCCCTCTGCACCCTATGCATCCCTCCTTACAGGATGTCTCTCTGCTGACTATAATTGCGTTTTCAATTGCCTCCCCTCTTTCTTGTATTCTGTGACTTCTTTGAGATGAGCATTCCGTGTCTATTTGTCTTATTATGCAGTGTTTGATATGCTGTTGGTACTCAAAAAAAAGTATTTATGTATATATAATAATATGTGAGTACAAGGGCTGAGGACCCCAAAACCTTATGGTCCCCTTGAATGCCACCAGGAGAAATCCCCAAGCACTGAACCTGAAAGTAAATCCCAAGCACCAGCAGTATGCCCCTCCAAAAAACAACCCCACTAAATAAACAACTAAATAAATAAAATATTATGTGGTCACATTGGTAAAGACAATGACTAATACAGACTTATTTCTTAAATCTTAGAACAACTCTGAAAACACTAACACATATTAAAAGGCCTTATTTTAAAATGGCTCGTTATAATTTCATCCCTCTGAAAGCTACATCCTTCAAAGAGAGTTACTTTATATTGGTTCCAGACATTCAAGCATTATTCCACTCATTTCAATTTTTTAATATTACTTTATTAAAACTAAAAAAAAATCCTCTTAAAACTAAATTTTCCTTTAAGCATTTTCCCCAAAATAAATACCAGTATTAAAGATCTATACCTGGGGCTGGAGAGATAGCACAGCGGGTAGGGCATTTGCCTTGCACGCGGCTGACCCAGGTTTGATTCCCAGCATCCCATGTGGTGCCCTGAATATGCCAGGAGTGGTTCCTGAGTGCAGAGCCAGGAGTAACCCCTGTGCATTGCCGGGTGTGACCCAAAAATTTAAAAAAAATTCAAAAAGTTAAAAAAAAAACTATACCTTGGAAGGATCATATCTTCTGAGTGTTTCTAAAAGTTCTGGAATTTTTATTCTTGTCTCTTCTTCACAGAAGAAAATCCAAGATGAATTTCTACTGTATGTCGCAGAAAAACTAACAAAAAGAAAATAAATAATATTAATCATTCCTATAATGTGAGTTTATAGTAAGGTTTAAAATTGAGAAGCGATTCTCAAAAAATTAGAAGCTGAGCTCCCATTTGACCCAGTAATACCACTCCTGGTAATATATCCCAGAGAGGTAAAAAAAGTATAGTCGAAGTGACATCTGCAATTGTTTGTTCACTGCAGCACTCTTTACAATAGCCAGAATCTGGAAAAAACCTGAGTGCCCAGAACAGATGACTGGTTAAAGAAACTTTGGTACATTTACACAATGGAGTACTATGTAGCTGTAAGAAAAGACAAACTCGTGAAATTTACATACAAGTGGTACTACATGGAAAGCATCATGTAAAGCGAAATGACTCAGAAAGAAAGGGATAGACATAGAAAGATTGCATTCATCTGGGGAACATAAAGTAACAAAATAGGAGACTAACACCCAAGAATGGCCGAGATTAGTACCAGGAATTTTACTCCATGGCTTGGATGGAGGCCAACCACACATGCAAGGGGAAAGGGAGCTCGGATAGAGAAGGGAACACCAAATAAAGGTGTTGGGAGGATCCTCCCAGGATGGGAGAAGCATGCTGAAAGTAGACTATAGACCAAACACAACTGTCACCCATTGCCTCTTTTGCAAACCACAACACCCAATAAGAGAGAGAGAGAACAAAAGGGAATGCCCTGCCACAAAGGCAGGGTGGGATGGGGGGGATGGGGGGTGGGAGGGATACTGGGATCAGTGGTGGTGCAGAATGGGCACTGGTGGAGGGATGGGTATTTGATCATTGTATAACTGAAACCAAGAACAAAAATTTGTAAGTCTACAACTGTACCTCATGATGTCTCACTAATAAAAAAAATAATAAACAAATAAAATTGAGAAGCCAGAAATGGTTTAAGAACATACAAAAATAATAAGAAATCCAGCTGACTCTTGTATTTTTCTTCAATGTATAGTTTCAGCTTCTAGGTTAGTTTAAAACTAATGGTTCATAAAATATTCAGAGTTCTTAGATTCTTTCCATAACTAAAGCAGTTGAGAAAACATCATTTTCAGATACAAAATTAATGCCATTTTATCTTTTAAGAATGAAATTAGCAATCACCAAGGAAATTCATTAATGCAGTCATCATAAAAAGTAGAGTTCAAGTAGATCTTACTTCTGAAGTCTGTAAAAATACAGCCTTCTAGTAAGAAAAATAAATAGCACGAGTATTCAGGGACAAATGTCAGTAATTCCCACATGCTGAGTTCAACATACTGTGGTAACAACGGAAGTATCGTCCATGCACCTTCCTGCTTGGCCAGCTGATGAAGGAGGAGGACACTGGGGCGTTCCTGAAGAAACAATTATTAAAGAAGAGAAATAAGTGGAAATATAATTTTAATTTCAATTAAAATAAAAAATTCCTTTCTCTTCACACATTCCTTCACACCTTTCTTCCTTCTTTTCTTTAGAAGTGGCAGCAAAGACGGGCATCAACTCAACCTCCACTCCTCCTCCACCCCAACACTTAATAGTGCCTCTAAAGCTGCCCGCAGATGTGCAGTTAAAAAGGAAAAAGAAACTTAAAAGCTGCAAGTAGTGAGGGATAATTCTAAGGCACAGAAATAGTTCTTACACAACACAAGTAGTATACAGAAAATAGAACAGTTTGGCTAAAAAATAAGCTATAATATCCCATTTGCTTCATGTGAAAAAAGAAACAATTTCTAAGTGTCCTAAAAACACTATCGCATTAAGAATAATCTTGCCTCATGATCAGAAATACGATCCTGAATTATTCAAGAAACAATAGTAACCAAAGAAGGATGAAATTTCAAAATGTATAAACATGGCAGGAATTAAACAGAGGAGGAATAAACTTATGGATGAAATTAAAAATGTATGAACATAGGAACGATTACATAATGATATACACAGGCATGTATGTATACATATATTTGTATATAGATATATATACATATATATAAACAAAGAAACCAATATACATGAATGTATTACCACACATACCTGATGAAATACAAAGATCGGTATTTTTTCATGCTAGGAATGTGAAGCTTTGAAGTGAAGCTCTATTCAATATAAGTTGTTAAAAGTCAGCAATTGAATGTGCTTGTACATCCCACCCTTCAACAAACATTTGTGTATTCTCTGTGATTGATACTAATGTCCTCTTAAATTTTGCAGTTAGAAACTCTAAAAGCAAATTCCTAAGTATATGAACTGTTACTGCAATAATGTGGACTCAGACCAGCCTCAGAGATCAGGAAACTTTCTCTTTTAGGAAAATAATGTTTATATTATTAAAAAAAATTTTGGCATTGAATATCAAAAAAATTTATTTCTTTATACAGCATTTATTTTCTTTTTTTTTTTCCCCTTTATTTTATTTTATTTTTTTTAAAGTTGTAGATTTACAATTTTTTGTGCTTTGGTTTCAATTATACAATGATCAGATACCCATCCCTCCACCAGTGCCCATTTTCCACCACCATGGATAATATCCCTCCCACCCCCATCCCCCCTTCCCCCCGTCTCTGTGGCAGGGCAATCCCCTGTGTTCTCTCTCTCCTTTTGGGTGTTGTGGTCTGCAAAAGAGGCATTGAGTGGCAAACATGTTCAGTCCATAGTCTACTTTTGACATGCATCTCCCCTCCTGGGAGGATCCTCCAAACATCCTTTATTTGGTGCTCCCTTCTCTATCTGAATAGCCCTTTCCTCTAGGATACCCGGCTGGCCTCTAAGTTATGGAGTAATCCTCCTGGTGCTGATCTCAGCTATTCTTGGGTATTAATCTCATACTTTGTTACTTTATATCCCCCAGATGAATGCAATCTTTCTATGTCTATCCCTCTCTTTCTGACTCATTTCGCTTAGCATGATACTTTCCATATTGTACCACTTGTATGTAAATTTCATGACTTCATCTTTTCTAAGAGCTACATAGTACTCCATTGTGTAGATGTACCAAAGTTTCTTTAACCAGTCATCTGTTCTTGGGCATTCAGGTTTCTTCCAGTTTCTAGCTATTGTAAAGAGGGCTGCAATGAACAAACAAGTGCAGATGTCACTTCGACTATACATTTTTGCCTCTCTGGGATATATTCCCAGGAGTGGTATTGCTGGGTCAAATGGGAGCTCAATTTCTAATTTTTTGAGAATCGTCCATACTGTTTTCCAGAAGGGCTGAACCAGTGGACATTCCCACCAACAGTGAAGGAGTGTCCCTTTCTCGCCACATCCACGCCAGCATCGGTTGCTTTTGTTCTTTTGAATGTGGGCCAGTCTCTGAGGTGTGAGATGGTATCTCATTGTGATTTTGATTTGCATCTCCCTGATGATTAATGATGTAGAGCATTTTCTCATGTGCTTTTTTGCCATTCGGATTTCTTCTTTGAGAAAGTTTCTGTTCATTTCATTGCCCCATTTTTGGATGGGGTTGGATGTTTTCTTCTTGTGGAGTTTAACCAGTATTTTGTAGATCCTGGATATCAACCCCTTGTCAGATGTGTATTCGGTGAATATCCTTTCCCATTCTGTAGACTGTCTTTGTATTTTGGTCACTGTTTCTTTGGAGGTGCAGAAGCTTCTTAGTTTAAGATAGTCCCATTTATCTATCTCATACAGCATTTATTTTCAACTTCCACATACAATTACTAAATACAAAAAAAAAAAACCTATAGTAATCAAAGACTAATATCATGGCATGTTAGAAAAAGCAAAACTAAAGGCTGGATAGCATTTACCCAATAAAGTGCAGGGTTTTCTGACTGTTGTTTCTGAATTATGCAGCAATTTTCATTGTCTCTTGAAAAATTTATATGTAAATATTCATATTCATGAGGGATTATATAAGAACAAAAATCATGTGTGAAGGAAATGAATAACATTAATATTTGCATAAAACTGCATTGGGAAAGCATGCTAATATGAACTAGCGAGAAAAACACCAGCAAATACGAAGGAATGCTTTATTTTAAAAGTAGAAAATGAACTACACAGCAACTGAAATTACTGTAATAAAGATTCTGTGACAATGGAATTATTTTAGTGTTAAATGGAAAAGCACACATGCATCCAACTACGTGATACAAGTTCAAATATAAACAGAGACTGGAGACAAAGTAGGAAAACAAGATTACTTTTGTGAAGATGACAAAATGATTACATAGTGGAGTCAGAGAGCTAGTAGAGAAGTTGTGGGGCTTGCTTTGCAGATGGCCAACCCTAATTCATTCCCCAGCACCACATGGGCCCCACGCACTGTGCTGGAGGCCCCCCAAAACCAGCAGCCATGGTTCCCGAGGCCCCCAAGTACTGCTGATGTGGTCAGATAAATTCCCTGTATTGCATAGTCCAAGCATCACTGTTTGTTCAGGTTCTTGCATTGAACTGCCAGTGAGGTTGGTCAAGAATTTCCAGGAGATGTGGACCAGTTTCCAGCCAAAACAGTTGTTCCATATATGTTCTGAAAATCCCATAGTGAAGTTAAAGTACAGTTTGCTTTAAAAAAATATTTTTTTTGAGAGAAAATGAAACCAAGTCAAAACTTCTGCTTCCAAACAAGTACTACCTTTTATATTTATATTTGGTAAAGGTAAGGTAAAGGCCCTCCCGTTGATATTCGATTTGCTCGAGCGGGCCCAGTAACGTCTCCATTGGAGACTTTGTTGTTACTGTGTTTGGCATATCGAATACTCTCGGTAGCTTGCCGGGCTCTCCGAGAGGGGCGGAGGAATCGAACTCGGGTCGGCCATGTTGGCCGCTTATAAGGCGAACACCCTACCGCTGTGCTATCGCTCCAGCCCATATTTATATTTATATTTATAGGAAATAAATAAGTGATATCAACAGGTATTACACCTAGAAACTGAACCTCAGTGAAAGGAAATGTAAGGGCAGTTTCCTGGCAGTGATATAAACACAGACTCACAAATAACTTCTGTTAGAACAATAAATAAAATTGTAACCATCAGAAAGGGAGGAAAAAGTGTAGCAGGCAAAGCTTCAGTTAGCATAAGGCAGGAATTAAATTCAAGATTGAAATAAAATCTATGGATTCCTAGCAGATCATGACCATCACATCTCTATTAGTTGTGGTTTATTAAATCATATGCCTGGATTTCACACTTGCTTCAGCTGGCGAGCACAGAAATTTTCTCTATCCCTAAATCTCAAATAAAACATTTCAAAAACAAATGTGCTGATAACTATCTTCAAAGGTGTTTGAATACAGGAGGGAGGAGGGGGCAGGAGCCATAGTACAGCAGGTAGGACACTTGCCCTATATGCCACCAACCCAGGTTCGATTCCTGATACCACATATGATCCCCCAGCCCCACCAGGAATGATCCTTGAATGCAGAGTGCAGTCTAAGCCCTGAATGCCACCAGATACAGAACACACACACACACACACACACACACACACACACACACAAGTTCTACCCTGAGACTCAGAATACCGGCCCTGATAAATTCTTGATGAAGTCAACATCACTTAACTTTCTTTTCTCCATTGCTGAGGATGGACCCAGGGCCTCATACCTACCAAGCAAGACCTCGCCACCAAGCAACATCCTGGCCCAAGGTCACTTTGGTCTTAAGTAAAGCTTTACACATTTTTGGCTGTTTGTTTCTTGGGGGTTAAGTGTTCCCCAGAAGTGCTGAGGCTCACCAGGGCTACACTCAGTAGTGCTTGGGAACCATGCAATAGTGGGCACCATGCATGCATTCCTCCAGTTCTCTGCTTTCTTTCCTTTACCCTTAAAGCTTTTCTACTTCTCAAAATGGTCCAAGAGCATTTATTTGTGCTATACATATAATCATGAGCTATAATTATATATAACTTTTATTTTACTTATTCTCTCATATATTTTCAAATAAAGATGTATAAGTATCAATACATGTGTGCATTATATATCTGAGTGTACCCACAGGCTAAAATACACACTGGTATGTATTACTGCTTCTAAGGAAAACTAAAAACATTCCAAGATTTTCCACAAAGTGACCTTATTTACATTCTTACCACTTAGAATTACAATAATTTCTGTTCTTTCTATCTGGTCTAACACCACTGCGAGATTTAGACCTCCTTTGAGGAGGTGCTGTAACATCAGTTCATAGCACTTTACGATGCAGGGCATGTTTCTTAATAGGCAAATAGATAAATGATTAAGGAGCTACAGAGTGAAAAAATGAAGAGTGAAAAATATATACTACAAGAGCCATTTGGAATAAACTTTCCTAGAGTAAAGACACTTGAGCTTACTTGCTGTCAAGCTAACTGAGACCTGTATATTATCAGTTACTGTATAGTATATAATGTATCA